TGGACCTTCTTCCTACCCTACAGACCCCCTTCTGCCCTATAGATCCCCTCCCTGCCCTATAGACCCCTCCCTGCCCCATACGCTCCCTCCTGCCCTATGGACCCCTGTCTAGCCCCAGCGATTAAACGATCCCCCCCCCTTGCTCTCTGTGTCGCAGCCACTAGCCGGGGACAGGGCTGGGGGCGATGGAGGGCTAGAGGGGGGCTCTACGGGATCACACAGGCCCGTGTTGGGCTCTGCGGGCTCGTTTGGTCCTGTACGGGGCTCCACAGGCTCATATGGGCCTGTGCTGGGCCCTACAGACTCATAGGAGCCCATGCTGGGCTCCATAGGCTCATATGGGTCCGCACAGGGCTCTACGGGCTCGTACAGGCCTGCGCTGAGCTCGTACGGGTCCACGCCAGACCCTACGGGCTCGTACGGGTCTGCAGGCGGCTCTACGGGCTTGTATGGCCCGCACCAAACTCTATGGGCTTCTACTGGCCTGCATGGGGCTATACGGGCTCATACAAGCCCACACCAGGCCCTATGGGCTCGTACGGGCCCGCGCCGGGCTCTACGGGTCTGCACGGGGCTCTAGGGTCTGTGGCTTCACTAAGCTGATAAGCATAGCAGGGCTTTGGGAGGTGGAGGGCTGGAGAGGTGGCATGGGGCCAGCAGGCTGCCTTGCTGCCCAGTGGACTTGGGGGGCGTTTCCAGGGACCGCAGGCAGAGGGTCACCCGGACATCTGAGAGGTCTCAGCTTTCCTTCTCCTGCCTGCAGTGCATGAGAGCATGGGCGGGTGAAACAGGACTGCTTGTCCCTCCTTTCTGTGTGGGGTATGTGCATTTCTGTGCAAAGCAAGCCACTTCTGGCGCTGCAGTGTCTATCAACACTGCGCTTCCCCTGAGGAACATCATCTACCGAAGGCCAGAGTTCACCGGGTGTCTGAGCGAGCCTGAGCACCTACAAGGGCTGCCATGACATCCTGGTGAGGAAACGGAGCTGGAGAAGCTGACGGTCAGTCGTAACTGCGGGAGCACACACGGGCCACAGACTAGGGGACAGTCCTGGGAGCGCAGTCGCCTGGCCTCTTGCGTCCCAGCCTCGTTGCAGGCGCTGAAGCACAGTCCGGTAGTTGAAAGAGTCTCACGGCTGAGAGCTCCCGGGGGGGATCTACAGCCAGCCACGGAGGACAAGCTCGGACCGGCAGCGTGGGCACAGCTATGTCCTGGGGCTGCGCCGTGCGTGCGAGAGGCTGGGAAGCGGAAGGCAGTCGTCCCAGAGTTGGGGATGGGGAGATGGTGCGGCAGTCTGGGTGCTGCTGCGAGGAGGGAGCGGGAGGTTGTTTTTTTGGGACTGAAGGTGAGTGCAAGCAATACGTGAGTGATGGGTGTGCCCAGGAGTGGGAATGCAAGTGATGTGTCAAGTGGTTAGGTTGCTTGGAGTACTAATGTTCATAAAGTGGATAACAGGCTAAAAACACACTTGTTTCACATCCTAAAAAATATTTACCAGGCTGCAGTGTTTTACCCTAGTTCTGGCCACTGTGAGGCATTTTCTGGTTATTCTTTAGGGTACACTTTACTGGCCAGAGGAAAAGATTTTGGGGGGATTTTGGATTTTGTTTGCCCAGGGAGCTGCGAGGACTGAAAATATGAAGTTAATTGTAACGGAGATGAATTAGTGCTTGCGGTGTTTCAGGTAGGTTCAGTGGAAGCGCAGCTTAGTGCAGTGCTGTGCAGCGATTCTCGCACGTGCTGGCGGTTGAACGGTGGCTAAAACCAAGCTTATAAACAGCAACTGTAACATGATTCTGACGCAGGTCTTCCTGTTCTGCCGCACTTCTAAATGAAGGGGAAACTTCTTAACCTGTGGGCACAACTCCTTGGCTTCTCTTTACTCTTCTCACGCTTATGTGTGCTTTGCTGTTTCTTGCTTAAAGCTGAGGGTTTGGAGTCTTTCCCTTAAGGTTTATTGTTTCGTTTGCTGTTGAGAGTCTCTCATTCAGGGATCACGGTTTATCACGTTATTTTGTGGGGTTGTTTTTACTGGTCAGCGTTTACAGTTTGTTCACTTAGTGATCAGGGTGCAGGATTTAAAATCCAGCCTCATCCATAAATTTTAAAGCCTCTGCAACCATTTAGGTTCCAAGATTTGCAGTTTGTGACTTAGGGTTCATGGCTTACGCCTTACTGATAAATGACAAGGGCTATTTTATTTTATTTTATTTTTTACTTTTGTTGAGCCCGAGCTCTCCATTTTTCCTCTCGTCCCCTGAATACTCCCTTTTCCTCTCTGTACCCCCAGGGCTCTCCCTTGAGCTTTCAGCCAGCACCTGAGGCGCTGGAGTGTCTCTGCTGCCCTGGCAGCCCCAGCTGT